CCTATTCCGTACCTTATATTCGGAATCAAAAACGTACCTTTTCAGTATTATTATTATAATTTTCTTAATTCCGTGCATTTTTCGCACATTTTCCGTATACATCTATAAATTGTATTACATTGATAAATTTCAAAACGTAGATTAAATACATCCATTCCGTATCTAAAAATTTATTCGTATCAAATATAGGGAAATTCTTATACATTCCGTATGTTTATTTTCTATAATAATAGGGGCAAAGCAACCTGGACAAACTGAGAATTTGGTTCTTCTCTTTTATAATCCGCTGGTTTCTTGAGTATGTAAACTTACCGGATTGGTAATACCCTTTTTAAGCGTATTAAGTCAATTTCTTTTAAATATTTTATATAAATTTTGTTTTCACCAGAAATGTGCCATATTCATAGAAAAATTATGGAAAGATTGCAGGGAGAAAGAAGGATTTTGACATTTTGTATTTTTGGAGTTAAAATTCAGGTAACGGATCAACTGTTAAAATAAAAAAGGTGATCTAGGATATCCAATTTTACTATTGCATCACGATGTTGGTCAAGATTTTTAAAAGGTCGTTTTTTTAAATAATGACAATGATGCTTTTACATTCTATAAAAAAGATAAAAAAGATAATGGAATATCAAAATCATATTAAAAAATTGGTGATTACAGAACAAATCATCCATTCTCTTTTCTTCTTCTAATATGTTTAAGAAAATCCAATTCATTGCATTCATTCATTATGTTGATAAGTCGTAGTTGAAATATTTGAATAAGTACAAAAGTCAAATTCTCGGAAATAAAAAATCTTGATTAACACTTTATTTTGTAAAAAAATATGATAGTAATAGGTCAAGTTATTTATGTTATTTAAGCTATGATGGTGGTTTTTTTAAAATTTTATCAAATGTAGCAGATATTTTACTTAAAATAACTTATTAATGAATTTAAATAATATCTACTATCATTTAAGAAGGATAATGATTATTATTAATAATATAATATTATTGATAACAAAGTTTATAAATAGAAATTGATATTGATCTAGAATTATTATTATTAATGAGTTGAAATTAAAAATGAGATTGTTAATTGATAGAAACGGAAAATCCAACTTAATGCTGCATAAGCCCGTTGGTACAGTACTCAAGGAACTTCTTTAAAAGCTGGTCATTCGATTAAACCAAATATAATGTAAAGTTCATCAAAGTAGGAATGGAAACTTTATAAGCCATTTATTTTTAACAATGTACAAATCAAAAGTTGTTGACATGATTCAATGGATTTAGTAATTTTTATTTAGCAATAATTACAATAATAACCTTTAACATTGGTAGTAATAATAGTTGTAGTAATATTGAATATGCTATTATAATCAACATGAAAGTATATATTATTCTTTTCTTAATATTGTTGGAATACATTTTAAGAACATAGTTTAGAAAATTTTCCATTTGATTCTAGGTGAATAAAGGATGTTCATAATATAATTTACACTTTTTTGATCGAACATTGTTAAATCCATTACAATTAAACTAACATTCTATAATAATGATGGGTATAGAATTATAGCCTTTGAACTGAAAAAGATTTGAATTATTTAATTTGTAATTT